GTTTACTATTTTGTTGAAATTTGTTAAAAAAAAGTTACATTTCGTTTCTGATTCATACTCTGCATTTAAATTCGATATATCGCATATCAATTTTTCTCTTTCATTTCCCCCCCCCGAAGGACATGTGAATTTTTTTTTCCATATATATATATTAATGTCAAATCCACTTCCATATTGCCCCAGGACTTCCTGTTTTAAACCCATTTAGTTAGCTTTTGTAGAAACCTTTTCATGTTTCTTGATGTTCTTTCTCTCTTGGTTTCTATTTGTAACGTTTGACATTAAAACGTGTAACGTGTCTTAAGTCATTTTCTATAATCTCACGTCTCACCTCCCCACACATTATCCTCCAAACCAAGATCCTTAAACATAAAGTTACCCTTGATTTTTTTTTTTTTTTTTTTTTTTTTTTTTTTTTTTTTTGATTTTATTGACTTTGATTGCTCACATTCATTAATGATTAAGGTAGTGTACATAGATCTCCAATTCGCTGGGGAATCTACACAGAAGACAATGGTTCCAATGGTTTGAAGTAGACAAATTTTGTTTGGTAAAATTCAACTGGATGAGGCTTGCCAATTATGCGGTGTTGGGCAACCCAGAAATGCATTAAAAATGAATGACTTTCAAAGTTTGGCAAAATTTTGTTTAAGCAAGTTCTTAATTCGGGTTGTCTAGTTCATCGATGACGCGGTCAGCTAATTCTTAGATGTGTGTCAAATTTTGTATAATCCCTTTGGAACACCAGAAAAATGGGACACTATGAAATCAGGTTTTTGGCCCAAGGAAGGAAATGTGTTAGTTTGAGTTTAAGATACTTCAACTTGACGTAAAAACTTGTGATGGAGTTGAAGGTTGCCTCTAAGACTGGACATTGAAGGTTTCCCAAGTTTTTCCTACTGCCGCCAACCTTATCATTTGCATTCAAAGTCTCCCTTTCCATCTTCTATATTGCAACATAAAACTTACCTAATTGACCCATCTCAATCTCTCTCTCTCTCTGATCAGATTGTTTGAAGGCTAAAGCTATGGAGGGAAAAGTACATGACTTTCTACATGGAACGCTTGAAGCTACCATTTTCCATGCCACGCCCTACACACCACCACCTTTCCCTTTCAATGTAAGTACTAATTAAGATTATGGCATTAGCCAAATTTGATTTTGTAGGTTATTTTGCTTGTTGTCTTATAGATTTTGGTTTTTGTTGGAACGAAAACTTGTGTGGAAATTCTGTTCTGCAGTGTATTTTTGGAACTGGGAAGCCTGCATATGTGACCATCAAGATAGACAACAAGAAAGTAGCAAGGACAACCCATGAACACGACCGTGTTTGGAACCAAACCTTTCGAATCCTCTGTGCCCATCCGTCTGATTCGACGATTACCATTACCATGAAAACGAAATGTTCCATCTTGGGAAAATTTCAAATGCAGGCACATGAGATACTGAATGAAGCAAGTTTTGTCAACAGTTTCCTCCCTCTGGTGATCGAAAATGGGAAGCCAAATCCAGAGCTCAAGCTCAGGTTCATGTTATGGTTTAAGCCGGCGCAATTTGAACCAACTTGGGGACAGATGACTGCTGATAATGGTCAATTCCAGGGGATAAGGAATGCAACATTTCCACAAAGATCCAATAGTCATGTCACGCTTTATCAGGATGCTCATCATTGCTCAACTTTCAAGCCTTCTTCGGAGCTTTGTGGGACTCCAAGAAGACTATGGGAGGATGTGTACAAAGCCATTGAGGGGGCAAAGAATTTGATTTACATTGCAGGCTGGTCTTTCAATCCTAAGATGGTTCTGGTAAATAGAAGTGCAACACAATTTCCTAGCTACAAATTATTACTCCTAATTTTGTTTTTGGAACTTAATATGCTCTTAAGCAGGTCAGGGATCCTCAAACAGACATCCCGCATGCGCGAGGAGTGAAGCTCGGTGAATTACTAAAGCAGAAGGCTGAGGAAGGTGTGGCAGTGAGAATAATGCTTTGGGATGATGAAACATCCTTACCAATTATCAAGAACAAAGGAATAATGAGAACTCATGATGAAGATGCATTTTACTACTTTGCACACACCGAAGTAGTATGCAGATTGTGCCCTAGATTGCACAAGAAGTTTCCCACAATCTTCTCCCACCATCAGAAAACCATAACTGTGGACACCAAATCCAGAACCAGTGCAAGTGACAGAGAAATTATGAGCTTCATTGGGGGCCTAGATCTTTGTGATGGGCGCTATGACACAGAGCAACATTCATTATTTCACACACTCAACACAGAATCTCACTGTTCTGATTTCTACCAGACCAACATTTCTGGGGCTAGCCTACAGAAAGGAGGGCCAAGAACTCCGTGGCACGATGCTCACGCTTGTGTAACCGGTGAGGCTGCTTGGGATGTACTAACGAATTTCGAGCAGCGGTGGGCTAAGCAATGTGATCCTTCTGTCTTGGTCCCTTCAAGCACCTTAACAAGTCTCATTCAGCAGACTTATGCAAGCAAACCAACATCTGAGAGGGGTTGGAATGTCCAAGTTCTTAGATCAATAGACCATGTATCAGCAAGCCAACTGTTTCGAAACTTAACCGTGGAGCAAAGCATCCATGAAGCTTATGTAGAGGCAATCAGGCGTGCCGATAAGTTTCTGTACATTGAGAACCAGTATTTCATTGGAGGGTGCCGTTTGTGGGCGAAAGATCAGAACTGTGGTTGCAGAAATTTGATCCCCATTGAGATTGCTCTCAAAGTGGTCAATAAGATAAAAGCAAAGGAGAGATTTGCAGTGTACATAGTGATACCGATGTGGCCAGAAGGCTTACCTGAGAGTGAATCTGTTCAAGACATACTTCATTGGACCAGAGAGACAATGTCAATGATGTATAGGTTGATTGGAGAAGCCATAAAAGAAAGTGGGGTGGAAGGGCACCCTAGAGACTATTTGAACTTCTATTGCCTTGCCAACAGAGAAGTAGAGAGCCAAGGAGATTTTATTCCTCCACATTCTCCTCACCCTGCAACACAGTACTGGAATGCACAGAAGCATAGGAGGTTCATGGTGTATGTCCACTCCAAGCTCATGATAGGTATGTATGTAGATCTCAATAATTGTTTAACAATAAACTTACTTTTACTGTATTTATGAGCTAGCCGCATATCTTACATAAGTGAAATATACTTTTGTAGATAAATTTCGCGCTCTTATTTATGTGAGAAATATGGTTGATAATGTGATCAATAAATATGGTACATGTATCGTTATTTATTACTTATTATTTAGTTTGAATTCTCATTTCTTCTTTTATTTTCGGCAATTAAAGTAGAGTAATGCTAAAAGGAGAACATTGCTGTACATTTAAACATGAGATCTAGATGGTTTTATTATTAAAGTAACTTCTCATTCTTTTTGGCGCCTACTTTGTTTTAGTGGACGATGCATACCTTATCATAGGATCTGCAAACATAAACCAAAGATCGATGGACGGTCATCGAGACACCGAGATCGCGATAGGATGCTACCAGTCGAAAAATGGTGACGACAAGACGATGATGAGCGCAGGAGGGGACATTGAAGCATACCGGATGTCATTATGGTATGAACACACTGGCCGTGCCGAAGAATTGTTCAAGCAGCCCGAAAGCTTAGAATGCGTGCAAACGGTGCGTTTAATAGGAGATCAAATGTGGAAAACCTACAGTGGTGAAGAAGTGGTCGACATGGAAGGTGTTCATCTTGTGACATACCCCACGAATATAACAGAGGAAGGTCATGTTGAAGATCTTGCGGAGGGTAGTGGTGGTCTTTTTCCAGATACAAAGTCTGTGGTGAAGGGCAAGAGATCAAAAGTGATACCACCAATGTTTAACTACTATTTTTTTTTTTTTTTTTTTTTTTTTTTTTTTTTTTTGGGAGAATAAGAATTCCATTACATTAAACATGGAAAATTACTACCTAGTTAATTAGTCATTTTTTGACTAATTATTAATGTTACTCTGACTTGATATATTTGAATATTAGCTATATTTTATTTTACAGAAAATAAGAAAAAACATTATTCACTGTTTTCATTTGACAAATTTAATTGCGTGAATCGATCGATCCTCGATGTAAAGATTAAGAATTTATTTATTTGTCAATAATTGTTGCTTCTGCTCTCCCCACCTCCTCAGAATAATTGTGGGGATTTTTTCTTTTTCTTTTTCTTTTTGGTTCAGAAGCATTATAAATTATAAATTATAAATTATAAATAATTAGTAGAGAGGATAGGGAGCATACAAAATTGCTGGGTCATGAATAGGCCATGTGATCCATATCCACTACACTAGCTTGGCCACAATGGGAAATTGCAAATCTGCGACGCAATCCAAAGCAATGCTCTTTAGTTTTTGGGTTAATAATTGTAACCTCTAATTAGTATGTGGGGCCTTCTAAAGCTTAGCACTTACGTACAATAATTAAAAGGTATGATGTGATTGCAAATGATTCATCAGTATAGTGATTTAGAGTATTTACTCTCTCATATAAGATTTTGAGTTTGAATTCTAGTATTCGTACTTTCTCACTATGGTATGACAAATTATAGTTTCGTGTTTATTTCATAATTGTTCATTCTCTATCGACTACTCTATTTCATAAATTTTCTTATTACAAATAATTATTGATTTTTTTTTTTTTTTTTTTTTTTTTTTATTAATTAAGTCATATTAAACCAAACTATTAATGATTGAAGAATTAATTAATTCGACTGGTTTTTGGAACAACAAATAATGTGATATTTGTTTTTATTTTTCATATAAACTAGAATTTATTTAAAATTAATATAAATAAGTTCAGTTGAAAAAAAGAAGTAAATTCCCTTCTTTTCAGATTTCTGAAGTTAGCGGTAAACTCAACTCTCTTGCGCTCTCTCTCTCTCTCTCTCTCTCTCTCTCTCTCTCTCTGTTTCTGTGTGCAGAAGCCTTCGAGAGCAAATTGAGATTCGATTTGGTCCAAACGCTGATGACGAGCAATGAGAGACCTAGATTGTTTCTCCGTGATCTTCTATTTCGTATAGAGAATTCTGCGTTTATGGTATTCTTTCTCTCTCTAATAATTTGTGTTTGTTTGGTTGCCGAGAAAAGTAAAGAGAAAATTTGACTGAATAACTGTGTTGATTTGAATAATTAAAGGAGAGTTCGAGCTCACTGATGCTAGGCGAGAAGCTGTGCGCGGTGTTCAAACCACTGATTGCCCTCGTTGAGGCTTTCATCTTCAGCTTAGTTGGTTGCTTCGATCGACAACGGCCTCATCAGCGCCTCTCCTACACTTACGACGAAATCGTTCGCCTTGCTGCCAGCTCTCCATGTTTGTCTACTAATTCCTCCTTCATTCATAGATAAAAATGTGTTTTTTTTTGGGTTCAATTATTTTTTTTTTTGACTTTTCACTCTCAGTTACTGTAAATGAGGTGGAAGCGTTGCGCGAATTGTTCAACCAGTTGAGTAGTTCGATTCTTGATGATGGCTTAATTCACAAGGTTAATCAATTTATGCACGTGTTTGTATTGGGGCCCTTGTTTATTTCATTTTAAAATATTTTTAATCTCTTTGACATGGATCATGAAATTTATTTCTTTTCTTCTGGGTTATTTATTTATGTTTCCCTTTATTTATTAACTTCATTTTAATTTCTCATTTCCAGGAGGAGCTCAGGTTGGCGCTATTCAAAACTCCAGCAGGTGAAAATCTTTTCCTGGATAGGGTGAGTTCATTGAGACAATTTTTTTATTTTTTATTTATTCCAATGATGAAAAAGTAAATCTCTCTCTCTCTCTCTCTCTCTCTCTCTATATTTGATATGATAATTCAGTTCATCTTGACTGCTTGAATGGGATTCAGGAATTAGGATTGCCAATGTGAGCATGTATTAGTGATATTCTTTAGCTTCAATAGCAGAGTTGTATGAATTTTTACCCTTCAATGCAATATTTTTTATAAATTAAAAACTATATAATGTGACTCTGAGCCATCTAGTTTAGATTAATCTGTTCTATTACATTGGTGACTATATATGGAACATGAATCAGAACCAACATATTAATCTGTTTTTTCTTCCAATCTATGACGAAATGGAATCTAGGTGTTTGATGTTTTCGACGAAAAGAAAAATGGCGTGATTGAATTCGAGGGGTTTGTCCATGCGCTTAGTGTTTTTCATCCATGTGCTCCTCTTGAAGACAAGATTGATTGTAAGAATTCTACAATCCAACTTCAGCTGCTTAAAGTTTGGAGGCATTTCATGTTAAAGGACTTTTTTCTTCTCCTCTCTTTTGGGTTTTTTGCAGTCGCATTTAGGTTGTATGATTTGAGACAAAGTGGATATATTGAGCGGGAAGAAGTAAGTATCTTGGTGTGTTGCAGACTATGAGCAGGTTCTTGCCTGAATGCTTTAATCATTGAAAACAACAGTAACAAAAAAGAAGGGAAAAAACACCAAAATTAGAAGACTAAGAAGGCAGTTGGGAAGATGCAATGTCTTCACTTTGATTCATTGTAATTTTTCAAACGATTATTTCTTCTGTTGTTTTACTTCTAAGTAACAGCTGTGGTTGCTTTCAGGTCAGGCAAATGGTAGTTGCCACTTTGTTGGAATCTGGCATACATGTGCCAGATGAAACTCTTGAAGCTATCGTCAATAAGGCAAGAATTACCGATGCTAAAACTTCTGTATGTTTCCTTTATTCTGAAGTTTTATACTCTCAGAGTTCTCTTTCGTTGCACAGACATTTGCAGATGCTGATTCTGACAAGGATGATAAAATTAGCAAAGACGAATGGAAAGCTTTTGCTCTTCAACACCCAACACTTCTAAAGAACATGACGCTTCCACATTTAAAGTACTTGCTTACTGCTTTTAATTCTTCTTAGGTTTTACCATTGCTTCCAATGATCATTCAGTAATCTTCCTCTTCCATTCCTCTGCTTTCAAGTAAACTTCTTTCATTTGATATCAATTAGTGTTCTAAGAGTTGTTTATAAATAATAATTAAAAAAATGAAAGTAGTTTCCTAAGATTTCCTTTTTATTTTTCAATGCTTCTATCAACCTATTATTTAGTGTCACGATTGAATCTCTTTCTCTCTTCCTCTCTAAATCTATTCTAATTATGTTATCGACTTGCCAGAGACATCACGACAGTCTTCCCGAGCTTTATTTTCAACACCGAAGTCGAAGACTAATGTCGGCAATGCTATTCCTAAAGTAAGCTTGGATGCTGAGGCAAAGGTTAGATGATATGGTGCGTTGTGGGATTTTCTGGGTTGTGATTTTTACTGCCTTGAAGGTTCCCTCACTTCAACTGGCTTGGGATTGAGAAAGAGAAAAGCAACCCCAACCTCAACCTCATCAAGAACCTCGTTTGAACGGCAGCACACCACATCCCTTTCCATCATCAAAATCGGTTTCAATTCCTCGGCCGGAACTTTGCAGTGTCCTGAAAATTAGATCTGGCTGGTCCAGACTGGTCAAATTAAGTTCACCAAGAACAAGTACCAATAATTTATGTATAGTAATTGAAAAGAACATTTGACCCAAATAAATAAATAAATAAAAGTAATTGAAAAGAGCATAAATTATTTAGTGAGTACGAAAGTTACATTTTAATAATTTTTGTCCATTCTTTTATTTGCACTTTCAAATGAAGCAAAAAGAGATGAGAATCCTTTGTCTTCAAGTTTGAATGCCGCTGGGCACATCTCAACTGTGAAGGGGATGGTCTAACCTTATAAATTAATTTAAGACTCGAAAAATGAGAAATGAGAAGCAAATACTGATGATACACAAGAAAACCAGTGGGTCCTTGGTGAATTTGCAATGGAAGACAATTAAAAAGATTGTGAACATTATATGAGATGAATACATGTGAGAAAAATAGCACTTGCCATCATTTTATTGTTTTGCAGCAAAATGCAAGGGTGCCTCAATACTCCAACACCACAATGTGCTCGTTGACAGATATTTGAAATTACTGATTCTATACAAGCCCTAAAATTTCAAAATTGAGCATGAAAATATGATGCCCGGAAAACAGCCAATTCAATCTCCTATTCAACAAGTGACAATACAAGCCCTAAAACTTCAAAATTGAGTATGAAAATACGATGCCTGAAATACGGCCAATTCAATCTCCTATTCGACCAGTACAGTAAGAGGAAGGTGAAATCCATATTCACAAGCTGCAACAAGAGACATTATTCCTTTATTTGTCTATTGTCGAAAAATCAGTTGAATGAAATTTTTTTTTCTTCAAAAGAAGCTTAACATCCTACGAATTACCTTGACTCATGTAAACGAGATGGCAACATACCCTCACTAGCGGAAATGACAAACTGCAGGATACATCCTTGACAAACCACTTCTTCACCTGCTAAAATTGAGATAGATCTACAGGTTGGGATTTGTGTTGCAGGTAACTTAAACCTCCAACAAAATTAATAGGTTGCATATACTCTGCTATAATCACCAATTTCAACAATTGGGTAAAGATATTTTCTTCCACCAATCTCCAAGTCAAATAAACCTCTCGTATAAATCACATTTGCTTCTATTCTCGCTTCGAATATGTGAGACAAACCTGATTTCTCACTTGACAATCCGCAACAACTATCCTTTCATCTGCAGCAAAAGAATAATGATAAATTAGGTGAAAACAGTAATTAACATACAAGTAAGTTGTGTAACTAATGTGATAAACCATCAATTGAAGATAACTAATGATAATGTGATACAGACCAAAAACACAAGAAATCATCAACTTCAGTGTAAACCAAGATAAGCATGCATAATCAACTGATCATAATTCATCTTAAAGGAGAGGTTAAAGCAGTCTACAAAAAGCAAACAGCAATGAAGAAATCAGCAACTTAATAATAATTTCAATAGAAGTTGCAAAATCCAGTCAAACTCTATCTTAGTTCCTACTAGACCATACAAGTAACATACTTAGCTACAATTTCTTGATCAAACATTATTATTTTTGTTTTAAAGGTTATCCTCGACAAAACAATCCATCTGAGCCAATGGACTGGGTCTGTCTATATTCAGAAAGCACTTTCTCTCACTTATTGATTATCTGATGTTGGGAGGCACAGGCCATCTTAAGTTTTCTCATTCGACAAACAAAGACTATGCTCATGTGGCTGCATGTAGAAACAAATTTATCAAATCTTCTCCTATCTTTGATGTCCAGCTCCAAGCTATGAGATCGATCATCATTGCAGTATAGAGACTATAGCTTCATACTAAATTTCTGTAGCCAGCAATTGTATCTCCAAGATACTTGCCCCATTGTCTGATAACTTCAGAAACATCAGTTCCTACAACTACGATAGCTCAATGAAGACCATCTAATTGAATAACAAAAGGACTGCCATATACATCCAAGCAAAGATATATCCTCCATCTCCAAACTCAAACTAAATTCTTCAGTATGAGGTGGGCCCATAGGCTGCTCCAATCCACCAAGAAAAATACTCCATTTCCATCCTGACCAGACTCAGTTTTATTAGTTTGCGTAAGCATCTCTATATGGTGAGCGGTAACAAGTCCTTTCAAGAGAGTAGAAGCAAGATCTCACCTCATCCTTGAGATGTTTCAGCAACTTTTCCAACGCAAGTTATTCCAGTAGAAATTTTAAGATGACCCGCTAAAGGTTTTTTTCTTACGGAAACAATCAACTAGAGAGGTTTATCTATGGGTACAATCTGAAACTAAATATCCTATAAGCCTTAAAAAAACAAGATCAGGAAGAAAGCTTGGCATTATAATGGAATACTAATTCACTAAATGGTGTACAGTAAATTAGTTAAAGGCAGTGTTAAAATCAAGATGAAAGAAACAAATTAGTTCTAAATAGAAGCAAAATAACCAGAAGTCAAGGATATTAAAGAGGAAGCATGCAAGACAGAAATCAGCTACTATTTCTAGCTAGGGAAAAACAAAGAAGATTCCATGCCCATGAAACCCATAAAAATGAGACAGGATACTTGCCTATAAGTTCAAATCAGTAGCTGGCCTCTTGTCAAATGGCATGCCACCGTCCTTTCTTGAGATATTCCAGGGTCATTTCAAAGCATGGAGCAACTTGTCATATTGTGGGGGTGGCTAGAAATATCTTGATGAAGGAAGTTGCAGATTCACAGCTCAAAATGAAGAACAAGAAACGACTCACGAAGACATGAGAAGCAGTGAATTGCATTACTGACAAATCCCCGCGTTTTTCAAACTATGCTGGATAGCTACAAGAACATTCCTAGTCCGTGAACTTCCATCCCCTTTTATCTGAATATAATCTATCTTACCTCCACCCTGCCATCACGTCCATTATAAAGAAAAATCCTACCAATCCTCATATTGGAGAAGAAGCACACACTTTACAATTCACTTTCAATAAACAAGTTCAAAAGAGGAATATAAAGCTTCAACTTGGCTATTTGGAGAAAGTTCCACCTCTGATAGACTAAATGCCTCAGGCTAAAATAACAACTCCCGATTATCCCACTCAACCACACTCCTGAAATTGGATTATAGATAACCACTGCAGAAGTCTAACTTGGCTATTTAGAGCATAAGGAGTAACACTGGAGATACATTACCTTCTCAATATAAAACAGATTCAACCAATCCCCAGGAAACTTGAAATTATACAAACAACCCTTTGGTACACACTCCATAGGTTAAAACTTAATACATCATAAAGGGTCCCATGCACGGCAGATAAATATTAAGAACAAAAACAACAGATGCAACCCATAGTGCTGAACTACTTCAGTCAAGGTCTAAGCTGGCAACATTTCCACAATCCATTCTTCTAATGCCAGCCAACTGTTCGTCCATGTTTGGAAAGAAAGTTTTGGTGCTTATCTAAAGACAATTTATCCAGACCAGCCACAAAAATAAGAAGCTGTGGCAGATAGAAAACCATAGGGAATCCCATCTAAGATGACTCCTAGTCAAATAACCTACCAATAGAGAGAAAAAAGGCCTGCAACTTACTTCCAGAGCATTACAACTTCCTAGGCCCTAGCTACCCACCTAAAAGAATATCACAACTCCTAGTTATGCAAATACTTTCATGTATGCAATTTTCTAAACCCAATAACATCCTATTCTAGGAAGCTCCACTTACATCCTCAAACTTCCAATATTCAAGAAAAGCTACTTGTTAGCTAGTCTCAACAATATGGAAATCAGAATTCATATCACAGTATATTTCATCACAGCAACAAGAAATCTTGTAATTTTGTGAAACGAAATGGCCATCCTAACTCCTAATCTCCATATAAGCATAAAATCCTCACGTAGATAAAATGATGCATAAGAAATGGCAGGTCCACCTCCAACAACATCCAGAAACCAAAACCACCATCAGGGAATTTCCAAGAAAAGGACCCGCATCCCCAACAAATTGAACACCATATATCAATATATCCTCCAACACATTATGTTCATAAATCATGAAACAACAACTTGATTCCAACAATTGCATCGTTTACAGAAATGCAGATTGCATTAAATTCATGCAATCGACCATGATCACATAGCTTCCCTTCAATTCCATATCACACATGCTCCAGCCTCCCCACAAGTTAGAGAAATACGGGTTCATCTCGATAGATAGAAGAAAATGCCAAGTTCATAAATGGAAACTAAGTTACCGTACCATTCTAAAGTTTGCTTCTACCCACCATGAAAAGAAAAGGAAAAATATAATCAAGAGTTTCCAAATAAAAAACAATCCTCATTATAGGTTACATGGTCAAATGACCAACATAAGATATAACTGATGCAAATTAGAGACAGAAAATTCCAAAACATTATACTACCATCACAGACATGGGAATTAATGTCTAGCAATCAAGAAAAGCGATATTAAAATCCTATATACATAAGTTTAAGATGACTAACGATGTATTCAGAAAAATAAATGGCTACTGATCTGGCGTGCACACATAGATGACTTGACCATCTATGCTGATGATGAGCAACCAAAGGTGGCATGTATACTCCGTCATTGAAATCATAATCATCCAGATTTCAACGACGAGTCATGCGAGGCTTTTCAGGTCCTCCCCATGAAGCTGGACCTGGCCCATACATAGGCCCTTTATCAGCAACACCCTAATAGATAACCATAAAGATCATTCAGAGAAAAGGGAAAAACTAATAGATAGACATTCAGAACACTTCCGAGAAAAGAGAAAATTAACATGGAAATCTATTGATTACAAGAAACAAATCAAATTTCCAATTATATAAGCAAACATACCATGTGCATCCCATAGCCATCTCCATATGCAGGAGGAAAAGCAACCTCTGGGCTGCTGAAATTCATCCCATATTGTCCACCTTAAAAAAGAAAATGATGAGATGTGAATGAAAAGATTAAAAGAAAAATGTAACAACATAACCCTAAACAAAACAACTCTTCTTCTTCTTTTTTTCTTTTTTTTTCCACTGCATGACAATGGGGAAAATAAATTTAAATATTGGCATGCAAAGAAATAATAAACAGTTCATTTCTGTATTAGATAATTAAAAAAGATGAGACCACAACCCCAACTCCCAAAACTGGTTGTGGAAGATGAAATACATTTACATTTATCTATCTAACAACCAGACAGAGCTTAAAGAATCAATAAACATGAAATCAAGTATTTCGGTAGAAGAAAGAGGTGTATAAGATCAGAATGCAGTACAAAATGTATATGTTGGGACTTGGGAAGCAAACTATAATTGTTTCACCACTATGTGAGTTTGTTTTTAAGTGTGCTTGTGTGTTACTGTGCACCTGGAAGTGTGTGCGTGTGTATGTGAATATGTGTCTGCATGTGTGCGTCAGAGAGAGAGAAGTTCAACCAGTCTATCATACATCTACTTACATGACATCTCATCTTTTCAAAAGCCAATGAGGAGTTTCAGCACCAAATTGAAGGTTAAATAAAGGTACCAGAAGGAGGATATGAATGCCAAAAGAATACAGTCAGACAGATAAGTAATACCTGCACCCCATGGTCTACCATCTGTCCTAGCAAGATCTGCGCGTAGTTTCTCAACTTCACGAGCCATAGAAACTAGGTTCTTCTCCATTGCCTGTCTTTGTTCCATAAGCTCAATATTCGCCTTCTTCTCATAATCGATTGCATTTCTACAAAACAAAACTTGTATGTTAATATATAAGCAATTGATCTAATACAATCTCGATAAAATTTGTACACTAAAAAGGAGCTTCAAGACAAGAAAATGACGACAAATAAGCAGCGGGTACATACCTAGCACGCATAAGCTCCTGGTGCAGACCATCAATGTCAGCCCTTAGTAGAGGAATCTGTTGATTATCTGATTGCAACCTCGCAACGTCCTGTGTGAGGGTCTGAACTTGAGTGGAAAGTTCCTTCCTAACATTATTCAGCTTCTGAACTTCAGAACGAAGTTGTTTAGCCTCATTTTTCAAGGGCTCAGTGGCCCGAAGATCAGCCTCCAATTTCCTGCCTTTCTCAAAGAGCTCCCTTGATTGCAATTCTTCTTCGGCACGAATATCTGAAAAGGCAACATTCATCCTATGAATTTCCTCCTTGGCAGCACCAAGCTCACGCTGCAATGTCATTCGGTCCTCAACCAGCCTCCGGTTATCAGCCAAGAGTCTTCGAATTTCAGCATGTTGCATTTCAAGTTCTTCCTCCAACACTGCAGGATGAGGAAGTGGTCGCATTGGAGGACCTCGACCAAAAGGTCCTTCGAGAGGGTAACCGCGCCGGTCATTCATCGCTTCACGTGGAACACGATGTCTCCCTGCCATTGTAAGGTATCCTGAAAACCACCCACAAAACTGTAGGAAAGATAACCTCTACAGAAAGGGGGAAAGAGAATGAGTATGTTAGCGATAAGTCTGAAATTTACTTTAAATAATGCTCTAAAGTAACATTATCCCTAGCAATTGGAAGCTTGTGCAAAATGTTTTAGTTTTTTTTCTAATAAAAAAAATAAACATGGAAGTGCTTGTACAAGCTGAAATTAAATCAATTATACAGCTTTGGCGGTGCTTCTTATTTTCTTTATTCTTTTCTAGATAATCACACAATTGGTCAGTCAATGTGAACCATATACAAACCAACTTTTCATCAACTAATTAAGCCACTCATATCTGATTAGTCCTTATGCGTCAGTTTGGATTCCGAGAAAGTGAAGGAAATTGAAGACAAAACTACGTTTTGAAAATTTCAAGCTTCTCATTACTTCAGACCCAGAAATACCAACATGCATACCGATATATTAATAATAATTCGACTTCTCAAGGCAAAACAAAACGTACTTTTCTCAGTTCCCTCTCCGTTCTGACGATAATTTATCACAGAAATAATTAAAAGCAATTCAAATAAGATCCTAATTTCAATTCTCTTTCATTCTTTAGAATTAAACATCCATAAACAACAACTGTTTTTTCTGAAAACAATAGCATAAAAGGCAAACTAGAATCCGCACCTTCTGTTTGATCGAAATTCTGAACGATGAAAACCTCTATGTGCTCTGCGTTAGAGGTCCTGAGATGATTTTGGTCAGAAAATTCATAGCTAGTTTTCTCTAGGCTTTGATTTTGCCCATCAGGCCATTTAACACTGTTCCGAACGACGTCGTACTTTGGGCTACCGGCCCATTAAATTAGGTCGGCTCCACATCGTAGAAGCCCATTGACAAATTAAGCCTGGCTTTCTTCTGGCCCGAGATAGTAATTTAGAAGCGAAAGATTTTGTTCGTTTTTGCTTTTCTTCTCTTGGTTGGAGCTATTTTTGTTTCTTCAGTGGAAAAGGGTAAGTTAGAAGGAGAAAAAAAAAAAAGGACACGGGCCTAACCAAATTGGCTAGAATGGATGTGCTTCCTACTTTGCACTCGAGTTTGAATCCTCCATTCTTATCTATAAAAAGAAAGCCTTAAAGAATGCGTCCTCTAAACTACAAGGTAGCAACTGAATAGGATGCAATCCTGAAAATATGTTTGATCTGCTCCCTCATGAAAATGCTGAATTCCATGGCTTCATTCATTATGAAGAAAAATGTTATTGTATTTTTGTTGAATTTTCGTGAGAATTGAACATTAAACTAGTAGGATGAGTAGTTTTGAATTACAACCATCATCACTGTTGTTTTTCCTGATCAACAAAGCAACCCTAGATCTTGCAAATCAGGCTAGGCACAGTAAGCTATATTTTCTCTTTCTTCTGCAGATTTTTCTGTCCAGATGGTTAGACCATATCCATTCTTTACACACGCATGTTTGTGATGGGGGGAGATTGGTTTGCATAAGTTATAGGATATTGCAATGAACCAAAGAGTGTTCCATTACCCAAAAGGATGAGCATTCACTTTTCTCATATGTTTGGTGGTACGATTCATCTGCAAAACAAAAATTGAAGCTTCACAAGGAAAAGGTGTTGATTCTAAGAATGTAGAATAGTTTTGTGAAATTCGGTGTAATTTTGTATTTATTCAAAGAGATAAAGTGTTGTTGATATGTATAATAGGTCGTGACTTGCATGATGAGTGGTGATAAAGATAATCAAGGGGATTTAACACAAGTATATATGCTTGTGAAAGGTGACTTAGGGCCCTTTTTATGAACTTATTTTATATAATTTTTCTCTTAAACATACGTATGTAATGACGAACTTGAATTCTAGATGGTGATTAAAGGTAAGTATAAATATTTCTTTGTGTCCGATTCTCTTGTAATTTTCTTTTTTCCACATAAAAAAATATTTCTTTGTGTCAGTGTAGAAATGGAGGGAGAAAGACTTTTTCTCATAGTAAAAAATCATCAATGACTTCACAAGATATGGCTTTAGTATGTTTATGATATAGACTTCCATTACATTCATGATGAGTAAGAACAACTACATACAATACAACACAAAAAAAACTCAAATTGATTCAAAACTATGTTTTAAAAAATTTCAACCTTGATGGGATTGCTACCAATAAAAGCAAGTGAGTGTCAATAGATTATACATGGAACTTTGGTAGGTATGAAAAAAAAAAAGAAAAAAAAAGGAACAAGTGAAAAACCAAGGGATTTAATTAGGGGGCCCACAAAAATGATATACTTGTCTATTTCTTGGTCGGATAATTGTATTGTCTATATGTGCAAGAAACTATCAAATCAGACAAAATGAGCCAGATGCACCACACGTGTGCACTGGGGCCACAATCACGTTTTTTTGTTGTCTTTTCATGTCTGGTTGTTTTGTGTCATCTGTGTACAAATTACCTAAACTTTCTGGCCAAATTTGAGGCTGGCTCTAGTGGTCCCCTTTCCTTTGGACCCTTATTGGCATCCTCCTCTTCATTCTTACTGTGGGAAAGTTAACAATCGTGTCCTCCTCAGCCACCCACCTGCATGTAAAAGAAGCCAACTTAGTACTCAAATTTCTGGTGGAATATTTGTGCAAAGTAAAAAAACAAAAAAGCAGTCAAGGTTTTAGACTAACATCAAGTGGTTCTTTTGCTTCTGCAAGCCTATCAAAATCAGAACCTTGATGCAGTGGTTTTCTATTAGAATTATCCAGAATGCTATCTGTCTATCTAGCCCTATTGACCATTTGTTTAATCTTCACTTTCTTGATTGTTGATAATAATCAGATAAAGGAAGGTGTTTGATTTGATTTGGTATAGAATTCTTGCAAAATCCAATGGCAATGAAGGTGTTTGATAAATAATTAGACAAATTTCATGCAGTTCTGAGACTGCTAAGAACAAGGATTTAGAACTACAGTATGTATGAAATTGATGAATTTGATAAGTTATGCATGGGGAGTGGAGAGGTGACCTAAAATTGAGTGATTCAAAATCAGCCAGTCTGGTGATTCACATGTGTACTAATATATAGTTGGGTTAGGTCTAGGGAACACCATTTGTTCCCTCAGAATTTGGGTATCTGCCACTCTGTCTGATATCATATTACACATCATTTATGTAAGGTACTTCTTCTAATACTTGAGTCAAGTCCAAAATGATCTATTTCATGAAGACACTGTTTTTTTGGCCTTCTCTTTGCTCACACATGGAAACCCATCTGGGTAAATTGGTGGAGCCAATCAAAGCAGGCTTGGAAGAATCTTAAGTCACTGATCATATATATTTCTCATATGCAGACACTGTGTATTTTCTACTACCCCTCCTTACTTTCCTATCTATTTACAATATCGTTCACACGGTAATAACGTGCGGACGTCAACATAGGAGAATAACTATATATATGTGTGTATATATAGCAATTAGCAATAGTAACAGAGCATGGTTGGAAGTAAGTACGAAAAAAGGTGCATGTCTTGTAAAAGCTATTGATCAGTGAAAACGCCAGAAAGTTTGATGTGTGCTATATTGTTGTCTTTGCTCATACGGCAAAAAATGAGGAATAAATGCAGGACAACTTTTAAAAGGAACTTTGTTCAATTTCTCCTAAAAAGCATAAATGTTTGCTGGCTGATGAAATCCCATAAAGTTATATACATGCAAGTCAACAGCAATAAAGGAGCAGAACAACATTCTTCTTTAATTGGCTTTGCCAAACAAAAAAAGAACAAAACCAGAGAGACAGAGAAAAAGTTTCATTAATTGATGTGCAAGCTTTCTGGTCAAATGCTTGTCATGAAAATGGAACTACCATGACGGCATGTATCTGCACCCATATCCTTTTGTCTTCTCCCTAAGTTAACTTTTTTGGTTTTGCAATTTATGGGATACTATCTGTGAAGGACCTGTGTGCAGTACTCTAAACTAATTATCCATTGTTTTTTTGTTAAATTATGGCCTGAGGGAGATCAAAATATTCATATCTATTTACCTGAATTGAGTGACAAAGTGGTGTAAAAAGATGGAGGCTTCCAGCCTAGCTAAGTCAAGCCCAGGACACAGCCTTTGTCCACCTCCAAAAGGAGTGAAGTTAGAGCTGCTCATGTCTTTGTCCTGCAGAATATACCTCCAATCCATTACTTAAAAACTAGAGATAGAAAGGAAAAAAAGAGCTTAAGAAACCAATTAAGAAGCACCAAAAATATCATATATTTGGTCATTCTTACTTGCCACCTCCATGGATTGAAGTCATAAGGCCAATCATAGTTATTCTCATCCAGATGAACTGATCTAAAATATGTGAAGACACACCAGCCCTTCGGTATTAGATACCCTTTTATCTCAACATCTTTCATGGCCTTCCTCATCACCCCAATGATGATGTTTCCCATCCTTAGAGTTTCTGTGATCACCTGTTTAAATAATAAAAAAGTATAAAGAACATACAAGATTCTTATGAGTATTAATTGTTTATTTCTGGTTCTAATTAAGCCCTGCATTTACAGTTAATTAGTATTGTATTCACTTACATTTTGTGTAAATGGTAAGGATAAGTAATCACTCCAACACAATGGCTCTCCAAGCTGATCTTTGAGTGTTTTTAACTTCATGTTCTCCTCCTGATCAGTTCATCATCAACAGTTCAAATATTAGAAAAGCCATAGGCATTAAGAAACCAACATATCAAATGATATATAAGATAACTTTTCTATGTGTCATTGTGTTATTAGTTAAGGATAGCAAAACAGTGTTATCCCCGTTACAAGTAAGTTTTTATGCAGTAGAAGACTAAAACATAAATAAAAAAAACTATATATATCTCTACTGTTCTTGTAATATGTGCTCCTTAATATCATGATGATGAAGACATCTTGTATAATGTGGAACCCAATCCCACTTGCCCCTAGAAACCGTATTACTATGACAGCCACAAGTGAAAGATTAGTCTCACTAA